TTTCCATCTTCACGCCAGACCTTAGGCTAATAAAAATATTGTGGTGTGTGTAATTTGAAGAGAATCGGATGATTATTTCGGATTTTATGATCGTTTTTGTTATTTACAATTTTGACCTTTTGTGGTGGAGGTACCAGAAAGAATAGTCCGATCTTTAACATTTTCATAATAAATTTTGTGTTGATGGAAATATTGAGATGTGCCAAGTCTGTATGGAATCGGATGGTTATTTCGTTGTTTTTGAGCTTCATGAATACTCAAAATTTTGATCCTTTGTGGGGGAGGTACCAGAAGGAATGGACCGATATATCCCGTCTTCACGCCAGATCTTTGGTTAATAAAAATGTTGTGATGTGCGTGATTTGTAGAGAACCCGATGCTTATTTCGGATTTTATGATCGTTTTTGTTATTCAAAACTTTGACATTTTGTGGGGGAGGTACCAAAAGGAATAGTCCAATCTCTACCATCTTTATAACAGATATTGTGTCGATAAAAATATTAAGGTGTGGTAAGTCTGAATGAAATCGGATGGTTATTTCAGTGTTTTTTGAGCTTCATGAATATTCAAAATTTTGACATATTGTGGGGGAGTACCAGAAGGAGTGGACCGATATATTCTATCTTCACAGCAGACATTTTGTTAATAAAAAATATTCTGATGTGTGTAATTTGAAGGCAATCGGACACTTACATCACATTTTATAAGATTTAAAATTATTCAAAATGTTGTCCCTTTTGTGTGGGAGGTACTGGATGGAGTTGACTGCTATTGTCCTTTTTCGCACCTGACCAAGCACTGATGAAAATATAAGGAGTTGCAAAGTTAGGACAAAATGCTTTCTCTTTCTGTTCAGTAAATTATTTTCTCTGAAAATGCGAACATTTTGTGGGGTAGGTACCAGAAAGAGTGAACCGATATTTGGCATCTCCGGACTCGAACAGACGGATGGATATCGCTAGATCGACTTCAAATAACCTGAAAAGGATTTGGTCCAAAGATACCTAGGTTCTAAAACCGTTATTTCGATAAGGTACGTTTTGGTCATATCAAATGATATACCCTCTCTAGCCATAACAATAACAAAACCTCGAAGTCCCTTTAAAAAGCAACAAACAACAATTATCTTTTTTCGCCCTGAAATTCGTCTTACTTTTTATAAATCCACTTCGTTCCAGCCTAATACACCTACACACGTTCCTAACTAAAGATAACATCAAGCGGGGCACACTTCATTCGCCAATTAAATAAATGGGGGAAATGCCGACAAGTGACTTGTTCTTTCCGTTGTTGCTGCTATTGTTTTTTTTCCAGCCACTTGAATTGCTCATAGGAATATTTGGAGGCTTATCTCTTGGTTAGAATGTTCAGAAAAAAAAAACAAACCAAAACAAAATAAAAAGTATATTCAACTCTAGATATTTGGAAAAGAAAGTTTAACAAACAAAACAAAATAAAATTCTCATAAAATTTACACTGGTCGACCAAGGTACAAACTGTAAAGTTCGGTAGGTTCGATAAAATTGAAATAAATAAATTTGAGAATAAATTAGTTTTAAATTTCCTTTCCCATTTTTTGGAAGGTACTTTATTTGAATTTTACAAAAATAATGGCTAATATCCATTAAGTGTTTTGATTTCTTATTTATTAAATAATTTCAATTTCAATACGTCTTAATTATGAGAAAAATGCAAATATTCTAAACGTATTTTTTATTTACCTTTCTCTAATCTTTTGCCTCTTAAAATGCTTCCAGACCCAGTTTGAAATAAAAAGCAAAACAAGACTTTAATTACCTTGCATTTGGAAGGTGACATCATTTTTGAAAATTAACCAAAAATTGTTTCATAATAATTGAGTAAATATTGAATATTGTTGTGAAATAACAACTATTGTTGTAGGGTAGAAATTGTCTGGTCGCTGACCATGCGAAAAAGATTTGGAACTATCGGTTTGGTTTGACCTAGACTGGGGGAGTTTGAATCGAATTGAAATCGATTGATTCAGATTTGATTTATATGCGACCCTACGATTGCTTAATTCAATAATTTTGAAAATATTGAATGGCGTTTCAAATCATTTTCATCCAGCGGAGAAGTCAACCAATTTCTTTTCATCCAGCGAAATAGTCATCTTGAGCATCAAAATTTCCTTAAACATAAATCTATGCCCTATGGATCTTTTAGTTTAATTCCAATAATATGGGCCACAGGGTATAAAAAATGCACTTTTTAGTGATATTATATCGTTCGTCCGAAAGTCTTATCTTAGAGAGTGAAACAGCTTACGAACCAGCCGATCTGACTCTAGATCAGGGCCAGGCATATGCTGGCCTTCAGAACCAGTGAAAAACAAGTAAAAATGCAGCCAAGTTCAGCCGGGCCGAACTTTTAATACCCTCCACCATTTAGAAGGCCCTTTATAATTTCAAAAAAAAAAAATCCGCAAACTACCACTTAAATGAAAACCGTTATATGGAAACTATGCGAAGACGTGGACCTGCTTAAACATTTTTTGTCATAGGCTGTAGTACCCATTTCCAACTTTAAATACGAAATTTGAAATAATTCCAGTAAATCATGTCGCTAAAATTATGAAAATATCGAATATCGGGTGGTACCGTTATATGGGGGCTATACGAAAACGTTGGCCGACATGGCCCATTTAAGAATTTAACCTCCCTACTTGTAAACAATGCATGTATGCAAAATGCCTTCTATCTCAATTCGTTCGAAAGATAGCGTGAATACAACAGACAGAAGGGCATCGCTAGATCGTCTTTAAATTTTACACTGATCCAGAATATATATACTTTTAAGGTTCTATTATAAATATTTCGAGGAGTTACAAACGGAATGGCAATGCTAATATACCCTCCATAGAATGGTAGAGGGTAAAATAATATAATAAGGAAGTTACAAAGCTGAGAGAACATAAAAGTGGTACTCTCTACCTGGTCCTTCTCCAGATCGATACGTTAAACCCCCGATTAATGGCCAAATTGACCATTTTCAAAGTATTTGCTTTTCAGACAGGCATTTTGAAAGTATCCAATGGTGAAAAAACTCTGGAATAGCATAGCAGGACCAGTGATTATACATTTCCATAGACAAGCGCCCCTCAAGGCTATCGACCGAGAGACACTTTTGACTGCAAAAAAAAAAAAACTTCTTAAGCTTCATTGGGAGTTGTTATAGTAGGGAATGGAACGGATCCCTTTGAGAGGGATCCCCGTCTCAGGCCATCCTGCTAACTATATTTCTCTAAATAAATCTCTTTTTCTCCTTTTTGCATTTTAGATCTCTTTCAAAATCTCTCATTTGTTCCCAGGATGAACGCAATGGACTAAAGGCTTCCGAGTAAAGTATTTGCCGAATGCAACAAATATTCTTCTGGCAACAAAGCTAATTGAATAGATGAACAGATAAATTGTATTTCAGTGTCATTATGATTAAAAACATTTAAATAAAAAAAATATCTAAATTTCCTTTTATTTTATTTTAGGTGACAAAGTCGCTTATATTTCTAATCCCTCGGCTTTAGGTCATTAACAACGCAACAATATCTTTTCACTTGATCTACTTTCCCCTCGTTTACTTTTTTTGCACATAGCAACCATCAAAATCGATTCGAAATCGCTTAAGATGATAACGAGTAAAAAAAGAAACTCAATTTGTTTTTTTTTTCACGATATATGTTGTTTATGATTTATTCTTAATATTTGGAAAAAATAATTGTACATAGAGTTTGGTTTGATTCTTGTGTTTTCTTTTGTTTTTTGTTTTTGTTTTCAATTAAATACAATTTTTACGTTTTGCTTTGTTTTTTTTCTTTGTATTATTACTATTGTTACAGACATAAATACATACAATTATTACATACAAATTATAATAATAATAATATTATATAATAAATCATTGTTCTTTGTTTGTTTTGTTTGTATTGTACAAATTATATATATAAAAAAAACATTTCTTCACTTTTTTACAACAACAAAAAAAGAGAAAATAATCGAATAACTTAGAGTTTTTTTGGGGTGTTGCATAATTGTTTTTTCTCTTTTCTTTTTAATAATAGATTTTTCTTTTAAAATAAGAATTTTTTCCTTTTAAGAAAAAATCAAATCTCCACAAAAAATATTATTAAGAAAAACTGTTTAAAAACAAAATACAATATTAAAGCCAATTATTATTTTTTTCAAAGTGGGGAATAAAAGAAAAATGGAAAATATCATTTACACAATGTTATTGATTTTTTTAAAATAAAGTAAAGAAATTTGATTTCTTTACTTTGTCTGTGTGTGGGTTTTTTTGATTTCTTTTATTCCTCTCATTAAAGACAATGTCAACGACTAAATTTTTGTTTATTAAAACCTTTCTTTCATGACTAAAAACGTGTTACAAACTATGGTTACAACAAAATAACCACCTCTCACTTTCCCTTCACTTGTTTTCTTCCATTGAAAGGGAAGAGAAAATGTTTAACAAATTTTAAAGAAATTCCAAAAACAGAAGAAAGCCAAACTTGTCTTTTTTTCAAAAGGGGAAAATTGGGAGAATTTTAATAAAATTTGTTAAAACTTTTCTGATTCCCAGATCCACGAAACGAAAACACCTAAAAGTAAACAACAACATTTACATAGTACATATTGGACTCAGAGAATTGTCTTTTTCTTGTAGTCAATTATAAATGACGGCTGTTCAATAACACCCATCAAAGCTTTTTAAACTTTGGTTGATGTCCATCCAGTCCATCATTAGAACAAAAAAACGTATTTTAACTTCGTTTGCAGTTCACAATCGACCATAAAGTAAGCGGTTTTTGGTGCAGTATTGGTGCTTAACTCTTTTTTCTTTTTCTTGCCTTAAATACAACTCTAAGAGGTGTTTACTTTTTTTCTTCACTTTTTTGCTCTACGACGAAGCAAACGATTCATGATCACAAAGAAGAAACACACAAATATAAAAAAAACCCAAACAGCCTTAACTTTGTTTCTTAAAAAAAAAATAAAACAAAAACAACGAAATCTAAAATAATAAGAAGTGAGGAATGCTATCGAGATTTTTGTTTTTGTAATTAAAGACTAGCTTTGAAACGAACGAACGAACAATCGCACGAGCGAATGTTGGTTGGCTGTGGTAGTATTTGAGTGGTCGATCAGTCTCAGTATTGTATAGCTTGAAAGAAGAAAAAAAAAACAAAAACAAAATATATGTTCGACCAAATCTGAATAGTCTAAATACAAAGGTAATGTGCGGCGGATCCATTTTTAAATTCATGCAAAATCAAACATCACATTTGTATTTGATTGGTTTTTTAAACAAGTTAAGCTGCTAAAAGTAGGGTTATATTTTTGTATTTCCCATACGTAGAGGGGAATGGGAATGGGGAGATGTTATTCAACTTTTAAATATACAATAGATTTCGTTTTAAAATGTCCCCTGCCTTTGGAGAGGAGGACAAACAATGTTCGCTATATCCGAATGTTGTCATAAATGAAAATTGGTTTCTTCGCCATATAACGAGAAGAAACAATTTGGAGATATGCAACTGTTGGCCATGACTTTACAATGTAGGAACAAAGGTCAATATCTGGTTATGGCTATGCAAATTTTTTTAGGTTAACCGATAAGATCAGCGTAAAATCATGGCATTTTCAACGAAGTCCACTGTATATCCAAATGATTTTTGTGTTGTAATTTTCAAGTTCATTAAGAATTAAGGTTTTACTTTTAGCCTGCACCTCCTCCTCCTCACTTGCAAATTGTGAAGCTTCTGTTGCTGTTGAGGGTTTTTTTTTTTTGTTTTTGTCTCAAAAAGAAATATCATCTACAATATAACTTCAACCTATATATTTTAAACTAACTATAACATAATTATGATACTCTCCTTAAACTTATGATATAATATCCAGTTAGCACTCCTTTGGAAGCAGGAGTGCTCCTATGTTTGTGTGTTTCCGTGTTTCTTTTATGTTTTAGCATGCATTTTTTAAAAATGTACCACCTACTAAAAGAAAAACTATTGTTTTTTTTTTTTTGTTTCTATCGAACTAAACTAGAACCATGAACCCCCTTGTGTATTTCTTGGCGAAGTAATTATCCCAAACCCCGCTTCAGTTTTCATTTGTTTCCATTTCTTAGGTTAGCTTAGTTAGTTAGTGTGTGTGTGTGTGCGCGTGAGAGTGGTCTTCCCACGATGATGATTATGTAATGGTGGTGACGTTTCACAGCCCTCAACCAGATCCTACACGCTACCACCAATATCACTTTGGTACCGTGCAGTCAAATAGTTGGCGGCTTCTGTCATTTGTTCCAGGCACTGGTACAAGCCATTCAAATGTCTTCGACAGCGTTTGGCCAATTCGGTGGCTTTGTCAACATTCGATGATTTCTTTTGTACGTGACCATCTTCACTGCTGCTGCTGCTGTTGGCATCACTGCCGTTCTTGTTGCTCTCCGATTCAACGCCAGAATCGTTTTCATTGGAGATATCACTTTCGGAGTCGCTCAACTGGCTAACGGAGGCAATGGAGGCCATTGAGGCGGTTGAAGGGCGTCTGGCATGGCCCTTCGACGAGCTATTGTTGTTGGCATTGGCGGCGGTGGCATTGCAAATATTTTCAGTCTTCGACGTTTCACTGATGTGCAAACAGCTGTTCATCTGTTCTTCCAAATCATCTTCAGAGTCATCCTTGCCGGTCCACAAGAGGTCATTTTTCAAAGCGTTCAAAACATTGTAGAGATTGGAGAGCTCTGATGAGTGTAGGAACTCGTGAACATTTTTCGAGTTGACATTTTTGCGTTTGCCATTGGCATTTGGTAGAAGAGTGTGTTGATTGGAGGTCACATCTTTGCCAGGAGTTGGTATAATATCAGTACTATCACCCACCTAATGGAGATGGAGAGAGGAGAGAAAAAAGAAACAATTTTAGATTTGGTTTGGTTTTTGTTGGGTGGGTGCTGGTTTGTAAATTTGATGAAGAGAATGGAAGAAGGGTATGATTTCGATAATGTCTTGTGGTTTGAATATCACAGAGTGATAGGCATTTATTGGCTAGAATATAGAATAGAATATTCAGCAGCAATGAACTTCTTTTTGGAGAATTATATGCAAGAAGTCTTTACTAATTTTTGTTCTATTCCAGAACTGCACGAATGTTAAAGTTTTGACTACGATAGCCGATTTTTCCTCTATGATATCGAAAAAAAATATTGCAAAACTAGCAGCTTCTAAAACAGAGCATTTGTATAACCATTCAGTTCCCAGCAAATTTCGATTATTTTATTACAATAATTATCAGAGAATGGTAAATAGCATTTATGGTCTGTTGCAGAACCTGCAAGATTTTGTTAGTTTTTTTTAATTTTCTTCGATATCATAAAGGGAAAGCCGATTTTCTCCAGTAAAAACTTTTAGATTCTTGAAGTTCTGGAACAGATTAAAAATTAATATTAATTTCGACAGAATAAACTGTTTTCAATCCAAATGCATGAATTAATAAAATAAAAAAAGGAATTACGTGGTGAATACTTCAATTCTGTGAGAGTTTTAACAATTTTCGAATGTAAATGGAAGGGCATACGAATGATTTTAATTATTTTATGGTTGTGATATTTACCTGTCGGTCCATGAGCCTGCATGGAACTAATATTGTTTCATCCATGACATTAACCGTCTTCACAAACTTCTCCATAACATTGACAATACTGTCTTTTGAGAACTGCAGTTCATCATGACGGGCAATGCGGCGCAAACAGCTTCTGAAAATTGAAAAAAAAAAAAAACGAAATACAAGATAAGACAAATTTGAATTTTGACAAGTTAATTGTTACGCTAAAATACTATAGATTCTCAAAAAAAATATATGGAAATGATTTATTAAATCCCATTGATATAATAAAGACAAGTGTGAGGAGACGTCTTTATGTCTGCCATGAGTTTGTCTTAAGAAGATTAGCAAAAAAAAAAAAAAAAACAATTCTGAAAAGCTTCCGCATTGAGAATCAGTTTTGAAAATCTTAGGAATGTAGAGGTAAGATTTAAGCAAATCATCATGACCGATCACATATGATTAACACCCAAAACGAAGATGAAAAAAAGCTAGACAATAAAACCTTAGCTACACAAGCCAGTATTCTAAGTGCTTAACAGGTTCGTTTGCTTGTTGTTGTTGGCATTTGCCATAAAATTAGTTAACACCGACCAAACCGTTTTAAATTCTAAAAAAAAATATTCATTTTTTGTAGCCACCAAAATGCCAAACAGTTAACATTCAAAAAATTCATTTTGCATTTATAGCTGGGGTATGGCATGGAAGAGATAGGTAGGGGTTAGTCTTAACGTGTTCATGATTTTTTATCGACTTTATTGTATTTTGAATTTTAAATTAAATTTTGGTCTATGAAAAAAAAAAATCCAATGGTCAGTTTTCTTAATTTGTCAAAAATATAAAAGCCTTGTTTGAAATGGGTAAACATTTATAATTCAAGTGAGAGTGTGTTGGTGCGTGTGTGTTTTAAAATGATCACCAAACTAAACTTGAGGGTAATTAAATATGCCAAAGGTGTTGTTTGTTAGTTTCAAATATTTCGACTCAGCGATGTTCAAGAGCAAAACTTGTCAAAAAGGGGGCTTGGTTTAAGTTTTGGGAGCCAAAACCCAACAGGAAAAAGGCCAGAGAGAATACAGAGGAAGTTTTGAAGCACCAAACACATATTGAAAACGAAAACTTGTATTTGTATGTCTCTCTTGGATTTTGAGTAAATGTAGGCTGGTGGCAGCCAATAATTAAGGGCCAAGTTCAAAACCACTTGATTCACTGCCTTACCCTTCTTCCCGAAACCAAACGACAACAGTCAAAGCTCTTGTCTTACCACTTTTAAGCATATGTTTGGCCGGTGTTTGTCCACACTGTTGTGGGTTGTAGTAGTAACGCCACCACCACTCTCTAGCAACCAATAACCTTGGTCAGCGGAAGGAACATTGTACAAAGACACTCAGTTACTTGGCTGATGTAATTTTCTTGGCAATTGTGGCCAAAAAAGAGAAACAATAAATAATAGAAACCACTAACAAACAATACAAAGGTTTTCGTTTCGTTTTTTTTTTTTTTTTTTTAATGGAAGAGGGAAAGGCGCCACCATAATGATCACAAAGACCCATGACATAAGTGTAATAATTGGGGTTCACAGCATTATTAAGACGCAAATTCTCGGGGGAAAACACAATGGAATAAGCATGGAAGTGGGTAATTATTAATATATAATAAATCATTTAATAACAAGTAAAAAAGCTGTAAATTCGACCGGGCCGAACATTGAATACCCTCCACTATTTTGGAAAAAATTTGGCTATTCTCAAAAACAAAAAAAAAATCCGTTAAAAATTCTGTTAAAATCTTAAAAATACAGAAAATAGCTGTTATTTTAAGTTCTATATAACGACATGGACATGCATAGCCATTACAATATTCAAATGCGAAAATTAAAAAAAATCGATGAATAATTTAGCTAAAATCATCAAAATTCCGAATATCGGGAGGTACCGTTATATGAGGGCTATACGAAGACGTGGACCTGCAAGGACAATCTCCTGTCATCATAGCATCCATTACGAACATCAAATACCAAATTTGAAACAATTCCGGTATATAGTGTCGCTAAAATCATCAAAATACCAAATATCGGGAGGTACCGTTATATGGGGGCTATACGAAGACGTGGACCTGCACAGAAAATCTCCTGTCATAGTCTGTAGCATCCATTACGAACATCAAATACCAAATTAGAAACAATTATGGTGAATAATGGTCGCTAAAATCATCAAAATACCGAATATCGGAATGTACGGTTTAATGGGGGCTATACGAAGACGTGGACTTGTACAGGCAATTTTCTGTTTTAGGCTGTAGTATCCATTGCGAACTTCAAATACCAAATTTGAAACAAGTACCGAATATCGGGAGGTACCGTGATATGGGGGCTATACGAAGACGTGGACCTGCACAGACAATCTCCTGTCATAGGCTGTAGCATCCATTACGAATATCAAATACCGAATTTGAAACAATTCCGGTGAATAATGTCGTTAAAATCATCAAAATACCGAATATTGAGAGGTACCGTGATATGGGGACTATACCAAAACGCCCATTTTCAATACCAAAAGTCCTGCAGCCATATAACATATTTGAGTAACATTTTATAAATCTACTTCAATTCGTTCGGAAGCTAGAGTGGTTTCCAAAGACGGTCAGACGGACGGACATCGCTAAACCGACATAGAATTTCATGCTGATCAAGAAAAGATATACTTTGTGGAGTCTAAAATGTATATTTCGAGGTGTTACAAACGGAATGACAAACTTAATATGGCCTCGGTACTATCTATGGTGGAGGGTATAACGAATTATTTCTATGGGAGGGTGGTGGTATGAGAGCCATGTTTCATTATTTAGCTACATTTTTAAAATAGTTCCAAATTATTAGGTTCCCAGAGGATTTGTTGCATCCTTTTAGGTATTGACATTTTAATATCTTATTGTTCAACGAATATTTAATTACACAATTTCCTTCCCCATCCTTTGGAGAATTCAAATAAAGATCCCGCACAAATATTCTAAGACAACAAATCTATCTTCCATCCAATTTAAGCCATATGGACGACACAATGATTGTCTCATTGTGTGCCTTAGACAAACACTTGTGGGCTTTCCTCTATCGAAACAAATATGCAATTCATTTGATTTTTATAAATAACAGTTATTAAATCATAAGCTCGCTTATCAATATCACCAAAAGTGTTTTGCAAATTCAAATCAATGATCAAAATCGATAGAACATTGTTTTATTTAAATATAGAATTTTCGATAGTTATTTTCGTTTCAAGTCTGATGGCACCACCACCGCCACCACTTGTGTGCCATTGGCCAGAAGCCAATATAGAACCGGCACCACGTATATGGCCAATAAAATACTATCACCTGATTGACTTGACGGTGGTATCTGATGACTGATTTTTTTTCTGTGGTGGTACAGATTTTCAGAATTGAATTACTATTAAGTGGAGTGGCAAAAATTAAAAGGGCTTCAATAAAACAAAATATCGGCCCACTGTTAAGGGTTATCTTGTGTCCTTAAGATAAGATAATAATAATAATACATTTTTGTTGGCAGAAAGTAGGGAAACATGAAATACTTCATGAATACCGGACTGGCTGTCTGGGTGGTAATGCCTTGACACTTATTTTATTTGGGTAAAATGCGGACAGACAATACATTACAAGACGAGCCAGCAGCATATCAGCACCAGCAATTGTTCTTTTTTTATTTTATCGGCGTGTGTCAGGCATTTCGACCGGCTGGCCGACCAAGCAGTCTGTTAGTCAGAAGTTGACATTCATGCATACAGTCCGTCGTCGGCCGACCAATGACTTCAAGTGGGAAAACTCGCTGTACACGCTCACGTTCACGTATATGGCACGCATTAACAACGTGATCGCCGCTCGCTCTGCGCCACGTTGTAAAGCATGTTTCAATATAACAATGTATACTTGGCTGTACGACGCGTCTAGCCCAATGATTTCGACGCTAATGACGTTGTAAACTATCCAATAAAAACTACGTTGTAGACATTTAAGAAAGCCAAGAAGATTTCCCTTTCAGTAGTGATTGCTTGTGGTTAGTGCATTCTTGAGGCAAAGGAAATAAAATACCCAATTTGTAGGAGGAACTATGGTGGTGGAGGAGGTACAGCCACCAGCATAGCAAGTAATATTGATATACACTTCAATGGGTACTATAACCGATATTTACTTTCTATTGATATTTTATGACTCTCGATTACCCAAGTCAAACAAAAATATACACCACATGTGTGTGTTGAGAAAGGGGAGGAGTTGAGTACCTCCCTCCCATGATGTTGAATAATCATTAGGTACTTACAAATTGTTTAAACTCTAGAATCTACAGACATTTAGACGCACATTTAAATATGATTGAAGGGTGTGAAAATGCCATTAAACAATGCACTACCCTAGACGTGTTGGAGATAAAGAATTATTTTCACCATAATTTGCATGTATTATAGCCTGCAATTATTAATTAATTTGTTTTACATGTCTAATTAATTAGATATTGCAAAAAAAAAAAAAAAAAACAATGGATTTTTTTTGTGGTATACACAAAGCGGGGTCTGTCATTGATAATATGGAAATAATTATAAGGGTATATGGAATTAAATTAAAAATATATGTAATTACCTCTAACAAATGAAGGGGGAACCGACCTTCAAAAACAACGAGTGCCAAAACATTTAGTAAAAATTGTCAAGATTTTTGTACATAAATGAAAAGTTGTTCCAAAACCTATTTTTGAATATCTAAAATTGAAATTCTAATTTCATAACAAAATACCAATTAGGTAATATCAAAATTGATTAGAGTCCCATATTTCATTTACTCATTCTGACGCACATATCTACGTCAATAAATGGATTTATCGCAATTGTCTGGTCTACTTTTGTATATCTATTTGAATTAAGATAAACACTAAACACCATAATTTGCCAATAAAACAAAGTGGGGTAATTGTTCTAGACTACAAATTTGACAAAGATGTGGGAAATAAAATCGAATTATTAAAAGTTTCTGCCTTTGTGTAATGCGGAAACCCAAGTCCATGGAAAAGTTCTTTCTTCGTACCCCCATATTTCGCATAAAGAACCATATTTCATTTCATGTTCTCGTATCGACGCCCAT